AAAATGACATCTAATCAATATAATTTATAATCTTTTTAAACCTAACTATTTTGTACCCTATCCGTGAAATTCTCTAGCCGTAAAGGCTATCTCTCCCGGGTTTTCTGCTACCATGATGCGCGCGCATACTGAATGTTTACAAACCTATAATTGGTCTATTAGTATTGCTTATAGATGTAGTTAGGAAAAAAACAAACCCTTAAAGGAACACTCCACTATTTTTGAAAATAGGCTCATTTTCCAACTCCCCTAGAGTTAAACAGTTGAGTTTTACAGTTTTCTAATCCATTCAGCCGATCTCCGGGTCTGGCGGTAGCACTTTTAGCTGTAGCTTAGCATAGATCATTGAATCTGATTAGACCGTTAGCATCTTGCTCAAAAGGGATACTCCACCCAGAAATGAAAAATCTCTCATCACTTACTCACCCTCTTGTCATCGCAGATGTACTGTATATGACTTACTTTCTTCTTCGAGCACAGAGATTTTTTAGAAGAATAATTTATATCTCTGAATCCATGTAATGCAAGTGCGTGGGAGCCTCATAAATAACGCAAAATGAATGCAATGGGAATCCATACGACTCCAGTTGATGAAATTGAAGCAAAACTATAGGTATGCGTGAGAAAAATGCTTTTATTTTAAACTTTCTAAAACATTTCGTCCATCAGAACATTGTAAAGCGTGGTATAAACAAACTGTGAAACTCGCGCGAAGGGATGCTGAAACACAGATGACGTCACTTTTTGTGTAAGTTTCACGTGGGATGTTTGTCAAGTGTGAACTGGGCCAGTGAACTTGACACTGGGCCAAAAGCAATAGTTAGGGTTTAAAAAGTTCTACATTTTATTTTTATTTTTCACAAACACCTATTGTTTTGCTTCAGAAGACGAGAGGTCGTGTTGTGTGGTTTTTGAAGCCTACTTTGAGGATTCCATTCACTTGTGTTATATGGGCTCACAGAGATGGATTATTTTTAAAAAAAAGCAGTTTGTTTTCAACAGAAGAAAGAAAATCATATACATCTGAGACGGCATGAGGGTGAATACATGATGAGATATTGTTGGGTGTAGTGTACCTTTAACCCGCACATAAACTGACAGACATAAATGATGCCTCAAATCATGCAGCTTGTTGAGGAGAGGCATGCCATTACTTTTCCAACAAATTTGCTAGTTTTGTCTGGCAGCGATAAAACATGCAAAAAAATCAGATAGACTTGGATTAAAAGTGGGAACCGAGTTGTATCTAAAGACCAGAATATCATAGAGACTTATGGATAAACTGCACAGAAATAGTCTAACATCCTCTCACACATTCGCATCTGAAAATGTAAAATCTAGTTTATTTGGATGTTTTGTGTATTAAAATCCCACGGTAATAAATTAAATGCCAGATTTAATCCAAGTAAATGTAGTAATTAAAACTAAGCACCACAAATAATTGTAGTTAAACTTTTCTGTACATCATGCACAGGGATGCAAGAGATCGAGATGACCCCAGTGCATAAGCAGGTCGATGTTATTGAAATTTGTGGTTTTGCATTTTATCTTTTATCAAATAGGGTTGCCGACAACAATGCAAAGAAATCCTCCAGTTGTGGCCGTACCATTGTCACCATAGTAAATAACTGCTGCACATTGTGTTTGCATTCATCCCAGACAGACATCTGTCTGTTATGCAAATGCCAGACTCAATGAGTCCAGATCGAAGTTCCAGATCGTTGGCACAGACATGGCTATCGAGCTCCTGCTGCAATCGCATTTCTTGAGAAGCCACTATGATCTGTTTGCTCTAAACAACATTGTGAGTCGGCTACTACTGGTGCCTGAACCTCTGGGATAATCGTGGGATAATTTCCAGAAGACAGTGAACATCAGAAGCTAATGTAGTTTAGTTTTTAGCAGATTGTGTATTCTGAGTCCATTTCTATATGAAATATGCTTAACTGTATGAACAACATCACAAAAATGCTGTTCATTTTCTAAAAACATATGGGACAAGCCATTCCAAGAATATTTCCTAGAAGTCTTAGAAGTTTAGGCTTTAGTCTTTAGACTAGTTCTGTTTAAGTGGTGCTTGATAAGGCCAAGGTGAGGGATTTTATTATAGTTCTATGACCATTTTATCACATCGTTCCTAATGCTATTCCTTTAATTGAACAGACTAGTGTTATTTGCCATATCATTTATCATTTAGAGAATATCATAGAGAAAAGTGTTAATTTTGGTATTATTTGTATACCATTATTTTAAATTAGCTTTTATTTATTTATTTATTTTTTTGCTTTTGACATTATTATTATTATTAATAATATATTTAGATTTTTAGATTTTTTTTCCTCATTTTTCATTTTAGTATATTTAGTAATTGAACTTAAATGTAGTTCTCAGTTTCCAAGCAACATTTAATTTGCTTAAGCTTTTTAAGGTTGTTTTTTATTCTAATATTTATATTTTGCTTTATTCCAGCTTTATTTGAGTTGACAAATATATTTTTAATAGTTTTTTAACAGTAACGACACTGATAGAGACTTATTTTGACTTGGACCGGTGTGCAACCACCCATAACACCGTCAACCATTTAGCTATAACCGCATGAATTTTTTTATATTTTCATGTAATATACCAATATTATTGCTTGAATTATTGTGTATTGTAGCATTTTTTGTTTGTTTATGCATTATTAAAATCATGGAAGCATAAATGAAATATGCACAGTAAAACAAACACTTATGTAAAGTCGTTTTTTTTGGCTGCAGTTAATGGCTAGTGACCGTTCTTTCTGCTCCGGTGTTTCAGAATCATTAATTTTTCTTTCATCTCATGACAGAATCAGCAGGCCCGCATCTGTCTGCTGTACCTGCCACTCTTTGAGCTGCTCTACCAGAACCTGAGTCATATGAACAGCCCGGGGCAACTCTGCAGAAATGGCCTCGGCCTCGTGGTAAACATGCATTTCTCTCTTATCTATGATCTACAATGACTCAGTCTTCATCTGTTTTGTGCAATCGATATTTTATCAAATGCATATTGCTTAATCAAAATTGAAACTCCATTGAAACTTCTCAAATGTCAGTCCAAAAAGATAAGACAAATCAGAGGCATTTAGAAAATATTAACAGGCTTTGTTGATATTTCATTGTTATCTTAACAGAAACAGACTGTGGAGTGGAAAACAACTCTCATTCGACTCTCAAATGTCCATCTGATACCTTTGAAATGGATATTTTGCATAATGGTATTTTTAGTTGTACAGAATTAGAAGTATAATCTGAATCAGTCCAAAAAAAAAAAAGTTCTGTCTTGGAGTTTACAGATGGACAAGTTGTTTTCCTATTTTTAGCTGTATTCTTTTGACAGCATTGTGTGTTGATTGTGGGTGTGTGTACGTTGTTTCAGTATTTACTGATTCGGTTTACTTTTGCACTGTTGTAACTCGAGACATGAGTGCTACATTTAAATGTCATGTCCTAGTGCAAATGTTAACCTTGCAAGTTCTTGATCAGCAGTCGGATAAGCACTTCTTCTGCTCCTTTAGTACCGGGATGATTTGTCAGTGGACAGCCGCAGAAGCAGCACAATCGTTGATAAGGAACCTAGTGAGTATCAAAGTTTTTTGCCAACGGACGTTAAAAGTAACACACACACACACACACACACGCACGCACGCACAGTACAGTATGTGTACATTTGTCTGTGTTTGTGTGTTTCACAGCTGGTGCCATCACCCAGAATGGACACATTAGGAAAGGAGAGTCCAGAAGCTCTATGTATGGAGATCCTGGCACTCCAGACATCAATGAGGTGAAACAGAGACAGCTGTGATTTCACTACAGGTGGCCAGTGTTGGGGAACGTTACTTTTAAAAGTAACATGTTACAATGTTGTGCAACTCAATATAACAAAAAAGAATTAATTATATTACATTGTTAGTTTTTATAGAAATTAACACAGTAGAATACTCACTCTTTATATATACACTACTGTTAAAAAATTAATATGTTTATTTACCAAGAATGCATTAAAGTGACAATAAAGACATTTAGAATGTTACAAAAGATTTCTATTTCAAATAAATGCTGTTCTTTTGAACTTCATTCATCCTGAAAAAAATATAGCACAGTTTTCACTAAAATATTAATGGTAAAACAGTTTTCATCAGTGATGATAATAAGGAATGTTTCTTGAGTGCCAAATCAGCATATTAGAATGATTTCTGAAGGATCATGTGACACTGAAGACTGGAGTAATGATGCTGAAAATTCAGCTTTGCCATTACAGGATTAACGTAGATTTTAAATTATATTCATGAAAACAGTTATTTAAAAAATTTTTTTTACTGTATTTTTGATCAAATAAATGCAGCTTTGGTGAGCATTAAAACATCTTGCCAACCCCAAACGTTTGCTTAGTAGTGTATAATATATACAATTATGTAATTTACTTACTAGAATTTATACAGTATAATACATTTTGATGTTTTTCTCATGTACCATTTTTTTGTCCACCACAAATAATATTTTGGAAAATTGTAAAATATAATTAACTTTTTTTTTCTAACTCTTACAGTGTATGCGTGTCTTAATATATCAATTTTTCTATGTGGAAGGGACAAGTTTGCAGTTGTTTGTCAGTTAATCAATTAAATATGCAGTAACGTGCATTAACAAAAACATTTTTTTTTTAACAAAACAAAAGTTTTTATCGTATAAATTTAACAAGTAATGAATTACTCATTAAATGTATTAAAAAAAAAAAAGTTTTTCTTTACGTTTCCCCAACATTGCAGGTTGCCTTATTAAACATCACACAAAGCATGCATCATTTTTATATTTTTTCCCATTTCTGCTCAGTTACACAAGCGCGGTTCCACAAAGAGCAATGTACCCACCGCTGGCCGTTTGGGGCAGTATGAGATCAGAGGGCTGCTCCTGTGTTTCCTGCATATTGTAAGAACTTTGTCAGATGGTAAGCACACTTTGTTATCATCATAAAACACCATCAGCCTTACTTTCAGATTAGCTCATTTCTTCCTATAGCCACAGGCTCTCTTCTCCAACATTACTATTGTTCATACTAGAGGTTTTTCAAAACTACTAGCAACCACCAAGAATTTTCTTTGCAACCAGCCAGGCAACCAACTAATGCCCTAGAAACAACCCAGAATGACTTAGCAACCAGCCAGGCACCCAAACAACCCCAAAGCGATGCCTTAGACACCACATAGACACCAAAGACAAGAAGCACACTATCAACCACCCACAGCATTGGGACATACAAGCACTATTCGCACTGTCAACTTTATTTATACAGCGCATACAGATACCGCTCCATCTGAAAGCACGTGATGGAGATTTACTACTAATCACAGAACCGGCTTTACTGACGAGATGCGCAATGATGAACTACCTTGAACTGAAAATTGAGTGTTTACTATTGTCCTTTTGCATTATTGACACACTATTTTCCTATTTAGTCCTGTAAAGCTGCTTTGACACAATCTGTATTGTTAAAAGCGCTATATAAATAAAGGTGACTTGACTTCACGAACGAACGAAGTGACGAATGCAGAAGCGCAGTGGAGAGAGCAAAACAAAACACTGGTCCCGAATTAGAAGTATAAAACAAGGATTTGTAAAGAAAAGTGTTGGAGGATTTCAATATGAACCAAGAGGAGACTGGTTTTCCTTTGCTGTGAACAAAACTTGGTTCTTACGAGACTAGCATATTCTCACCTTATCGTAGCTTAAGCTACGTCTTGCGTCATCCGCTGGATGCCACTCTCTTGTGCATACGGCAGTTAACGGAAGCAAGAGATTAAGTTTTTATAGTTTTAAATATGCATGTTTTTCTTACAAAAACGCATCGAATCTCTTCAGAAGGCCTTTATTAACCCACTGGAGCCTTGTGGTGCACTTTTTATGATGGATGGATACACTTTTATTGGACTTAAAAATCTTAAACCCCATTCACTGCCATTGTTAAGCTTGAAAGAGCCAGGATATTTTATTAATATAATGCCGATTTCGACATCATAGGATAGGTCGTATACACCTATGATGGCTTGAGGGTGAGTAAATCATGTCATAATTTTCATTTTTGGGTGAACTATCCATTTAAATCATTTCTGAAAAGTATTCTTTTTGGCCATTTGTCAAAGAACGTGGGAAGCCTGTGAGATCGGTTGTTGTCCTGTATTCTTGAGAATGTCACTGTGAACAGGAAGAGTTGAGCTATATTGCACTAATGCTTCTGTTTGTATGTTACTCAATGTCTTCCTGTAGATACTCTGATGACCTACTGGTCTAAAGTCAATCCACAAGACATCATGAACTTCCTCAGTCTGCTCGAGTGAGTGATGTACTAAGTTTCCCATGAGGTGTTGTACTTGTCTGACCAGTGTTGATCTAATTATTCACGTGTCTTTGTGTACACAATCTTGTGTAACTACACAATGAGACGGTAAAACACTGAAAAGTCTTGTATGCTATGGAAGAAACGGCACACTTGCAGAATGTTTCAGGTCCTGAAGATTGGAGGAAAATATAGAAGTTTGTTGCCAGAAAGTAAATCAGGACCCTCTCTTTAATCTTTATTTGGCTTTCTATCACATAATATACTAATTTTCAGTCTTCTCTGTCTGTAGGATCTGCATAGTCCAGTTCCGCTATTTGGGCAAGCGCAACATCAGCCGGTATGCATGATAGAGACTCAACAACGACAACATGTTTCCCATTTGAGAATTAACCACATTCAGATCACTCATATTTACATGAACCACAACCGAGACACGCTGCCTGCTATCTGCGTGTCATCAAAGCCAGATCTTTACATTTCATCATCCCCTGTGCTTTCAAATAAGCAGTGGTATCACGATTAGCATTGTTGTGGACAATACGGCTTTGTTTGTGTGTGTTGTTTAGAAGCCTGGAGCCCTGGGTGTCGAAACTCTTCTCATCTGAGAGGAAGTCTCAGACCATGCCGGTGCTGCGAGGTCGAGGAAGCCTAATGCAAGCAAAGCTGCAGCAGTTTAGCACTATGGACACCTCATTAACCCTGAACATGGGTAATTGGTATACTCCTGTTATTTCATTTCCTTTCATTCTGTGAAAAATTGCATTATGCTACATGATTTTCATGGCTTTTCTGATTCTATAATGATATATTATGCTATACTACAAAACAAAACGAAAGGTAACATATTGTAATGCAATGAACAAAATGAAACTAAAAAACTTTACCTAATTTAATATATCATAACAAAATCTTATGTAATGTAACAACTTAATTGACCTTCAAACTTTAAATTCCATTGTCACTAGTCTCAGCTGACCATCATGCATTTTTTTTAAATAGTAGTTTGTAATATTTTAATAACAAGTGTGTTATGCTCACCAAAGCTGCATTTATTTGATAAAATAAATAAATAATATTATATTATTTTTAAAAAAAAGTTTTTAAATGTATATTTTAAAATGTAATTTATTCCTGTGAAAGCAAAGCTGAATTTTCAGCATCATTACTCCAGTCTTCAGTGTCACACGATCCTTCAGAAATCATTCTAATATGCTATTTTGGTGCTCAAGAAACACCAAATTAGAAAAAGAAATTTTATTAATATTATCAATGTTGAAAGCAGTTCTGGTGCTTAATATTTTGTCGAAATCATGCTTAATTTTTTTTTCAGGATTCTTTGAGGAGAGAGCTAAAAAATTTATTTTATTTGAAATGGAAATCTTCTGTAACATTATAAATGTTACTTTTGATCAATTTAATGCATCCTTGCTGAACAAAAGTACACATTTTCAAAAAAAAAACAATAAAAACAGAAAATTACTGGCCCCAAACCTTTCAGCGGTAGTGTACAGGTGCATCTCAATAAATTAGAATGTCGTGGAAAAGTTCGTTAGTTTAGGGAAAGTGTGTTTGAACATCAAAAAAATGACACACAACAGCTTTGAGTTTCCTTTACCATATAGTCCTTAATTTCTTGACCGTAGCTGTATTTAATTTGTATCCTTAAATCTAGACTTATGACTACGATATTAACATGAAAAGTTTTTTTATGTTTTTACGTTGCATTGTAATATTACCATGCATTTGTGTAATCTTGTATTTCAGCTGGAGGTTCCACAGAAGCAGAGATCAACCATCAGTGCCTGCTTGAGGGGAATATGTCGACAGAGGCCTGCCTTACCGTGCTGGATGTCATCTCACTCTTCACTCAGAGCTTCAAGGTAATCACCAACACTTAAAGAAGAGGGAGTAACCTGCAGTTATTCTTATCATAGTGTTCATAATGAAGCGACTGGTTGGACAGGTTGATCCTTCCACAAACTGATAATGTAATTAATGGATCTTGACAGAATCAGCTGCTGGACAGTGATGGTCACAATGCTCTGATGACGAAGGTCTTTGACACGTACCTCACTTTACTGAAAGTCGGACAATCAGAAACAGCAATCAAACACATCTTTGCCTCTCTGCGAGCCTTTATCATCAAGGTGAGATCAACATATTTCTTTTACGAAAGGAATAGTTCTCTCAGAAAATTATTATTTGTGGTTCCCAACCCAAATGAAAAAGGTGCAGCTTTATTATTTTTTTAAACATTTTTAGCATACAGGTTTGTAAAAAATCGAATGCGATTTTCATGCGCATCTCGTCAGTAAAGCCACTCCTGTGATTATTAGTAAATCTCCAGCACGTGCGTTCAGATGGAGCGGCATTTACTACACAGAGCCGTAGTTCACTGACAAGCTACACAAAATCACGTTCAAGATCGGCAATGAATCGCCTGCGATTTTGAA